TGTGTCAAATTTCCATATGAAGTCCAATTCTGCAGTTTCTCTCTCTAGTTGGTTCCATAAATTATTTTGTAAGAAAATGACCATTTTTAGATCCAGTTAGTGAGTGCTCAGGCAACTTAAAGTGTCCCCCCAACAGGTTTGTGTGTGTTACCATTCTGAATATCTGATTTGAGTCTATTAATACTTTGTTGTAGAGACTGTCCAGTTTGGTCAGTATACATGGCAGTATAAGTACATTACTGTTACTTGATGGCATAAATAATTTTGATGGCTGTGCAGTTGTATGGGCCTCTGATGTGGTTGCTTCTGTGGTTAGGTCCTGTGATGGTGTCGCCTAACAGATGCGTGAACAGAGTTGGCACCGGAATTGATTGCAGGGTTGGGTTCCTGGCTGAGTGTGGTAGAGGTGTGCTGCATGGGCTGGCTTTCATGTATCAAATTTGACACAGTTAGCCTCATTGCTCAATAAGGAGGAAAAGACACAAAAATAGAAAACGTGGAAGTGGCAGAGGTGCTAAATGGTTTCTTTGTGTTGGTGTTCACTCAAAAGATTGGTGGTTATTGGTCACCTAACATAGTGAATGCTATAGCAAATTGGGTAAGGTCAGAAGTTAAAATACGAAAAGAACAAATTAAAAATTGCTTGGAAAAGTGAAATGTCTGCAAGTCACCAGGGCCTGGCAAAATGCATCCTACAGTACTCAAGGAACTGATTCAGGAGGTCTCAACAACCTTTGAAAAGTCATGGAAGTCAGAAGAGATTCTAGAAGTCTAGAAAAGAGGCAAATATAGTCTCCACTCTATAAAAAAGGGAAATAAGGACAACCCAGGAAACTACAGACCAGTCAGTTTAACTTCTGTGCCAGGAAAGATAATGGTGCAAATAATTAGGATATGTCTAGACTGCATCCCTCTGTCGGCAGAGGGATGCAGATTAGGAAGGTCGACATTACAAATGACGCAGGGATTTAAATATCCTGTGCCTAATTTGCCAACTCAGCACTTTGTCAGCAAAAAGCGGCAGTCTAGAGGGGGATCTGTCGAGAAAGAAAGCCTTTTTCGACAGATCCCTTATGCATCCCTTCCTCACTGAGAGGAATACAGGGATGCTGAAAGAACACGTCCGCTTTTTCAGAAGCCGTTCTGAATAAGCAGACACATTTGCCATGTCCAATCTGCAGTCTAGACAACCTGAGATTCGGATGTGAATTTTAAAATGAGCTCAGTGAGAAAACCTCTCTTAAATTTGCTATAAGGCAGAAGAGATGAAAATAGCTATGTGACCTCATTATCCGATATAATTAAAGTTGCAAATCTAACTCTTGCCTTCTGTTTCTTCTACAAACGCCCTTCTGAAGCAGTATGATATTGGGCAGAAGTTTTCCATACTTAATGTCTGTCAATAAGTGATTTTTCTTGTCGTTTTTCTAAAGATTAAGCAAATATCATTGACTTTATTCAATCTAAGAGGGATTCTGCTTTCAAATGTATGCCTGAAGGTAACTAAAATTTCTGGGCTAGCTATTACCAATAATATTGCTCGTAGGAACATAGCTACTTGTACATGTTTAAGTGTCTGCAAAAATGGGCCTCACTAGACAGGTAGGCCCCACAGGCCAGGTCTGGTTCCCTCATTCACTCCCCCTCAAAAGGGAGTCCACAAGGGAAGCAAAGCTCTTCTGAATATTTGTGAAGTGTGGAAAAGACAAATAAGAGTGTTTCATCCTTGTACATTTCTAGGAAGATGAGGAGCTGTTCAGATGGGGAGGGGCGAGAGGAGAAGACAGAAAGGGGTGGAGTTTTATACTTGAATGCTACGCATGGAGAATGCTCAGCCCCAGTTGGAGCAATGGTACTGAACACACCGTTGTCAGTGTGTCACTGTGCAAGGAGCTATCTCTCAAGAAGACATAGTCCCCTAAACTCTGCTGCTATTTCAGCCTCAAGGCTATTAATTAATATATTTCTCCCCATATAAAACAGCAGTGCTTTGTAATAACCATAAACAGGAAAGGAGACCACATGGTAAGAACACATTAAAAATCCACACTGGAATTGTTTACACTCTTTTCTGGAAAGATATAGTGAATATACTGTACAGTAAAGGAGGGGGTCAATTTGAAAGAGCAAGACAGGAAGTAAAAACACCTAAGG